ATGGATATTGAAGGTGAGGTAGAGAAATATGAAGCTCAAAGGATGAAGATGATGGTGAAGTCCTCATGATGGTTGTGTGTATATATGTATGAGTGTGTGTATGTGTGTGTTCTTGTCGGAGAAAAGAGCACCGAGAGGGAGAGAGATAGAAATGAGACAGAGAGAGAGCTTGGGGAGAATGAGAGAAGAGAGAGAGACAGAGGTGAAAGGCTTGGACTCGGGGAACAACAAACAAAAGGTGGGCCCATGGGGCACACCTATTAAGATCTAAAACAATTTTAAAAGAGAAATATCTAGCCTAAGGTGCAAATTTCACGAAAATAACTTCCTTCGTTCCGATAAAATCGGGACGGGTTGTTACATTTGTTAATATAGGAGGAGGATTCTCTCCCCTCTTAATCTCTCTCCCCTTCTCTCCTCTCCTATTTGAACGGTCATGGTTAAGCCACGTCAATATCTTATCTTATATTGATTTTTTATAGAGATAATAAGACAAAAAACAATGTATGAGAGGAGGGGAGGGAAGGGAATGAGAATAAGAGAAGAGAGTCCTACTCTGTTAATATATTCTCAGGTTAAAGAAAGGGAGTTTTTTTTTTAGGAATGTTGACATGCTATACCAGCTGAGTGCATGATTGCTTACGGATCGTATATGTGGAACACTGAGCACAAACATTAGTACTGCCCATACTAAATGAAGCACCATGAAATAGGGGTTGAGGTATCTATCATTTTCCCTTCAAAGTTTGAAGAAATCCTCCGGTCCGACAACCGGAATATGTGTTTGTGCGGCTCTATACGAGTCTAAGACACTCAAAAAACGACTAACCTATTTTCTATGAAAATGTGAAGGTAAAAATATCTTACATCGGTGGAAAGAGAAACCTTGTAAGGATTTATAAGAAGTTGAGCTACTTTTCATATTGTTAATTAATTTTATGACGGAACTCCAACTTTTTTAACCCTCACGATTTGTTATTCTAAGTTGCTAACCTTGACTCACTCTTTGGTCCTACCTCCCTCTCACATGCCCCAGTCCGGCTTCTCCACACGAGACCCTTTCCAAAGTTTGAGTATCATATACATGAATGGCCGGCTGATGACTACATCCCAAGATTAATATATGGAAACTCAAATAGAGCCAAAAAGGATGTGATTAATCTTTGACAGATATAGGTAATTAGGAAAGTGATTGGCTTATAAATTAGCGCCATTAATATATAGAACATTTAATGAAAATAGTTTTTTTGAAACTTTTTATTAACAAAAAAAACTATCTAATAACTTTATTTAATAAAAATTACTTAACTTTAACGAGAAGAACTTAAATTTTAATAAAAACCACAAAGTTTAATAAAAAATTAAATTAAATTAAAAAGTAATAAAAAACGGAATCGCGAGATCTCATGAGTCCATCACGAGAGATTTTTCAGTGTGACCAAAACACAGGATGGTACACCATGTGTCACTATATAAATGGTGGGATATATATGCTAAAAATTTAATAACTTGAAAAATAAATTTCCAATCACTTGTATAAAAACACATGGTGTACCATCCGTGTTCCAGTCACAATGAAAAATTTCTCGTCCATCACACACACTCTCTTCTCGTCCTCACTATTTTTTAAACTGAACGCTGTCTATTTCTGAAAGTGAACACTAGTACAACACTACTTAAATTGAACACTGGTACTATCACTATTTCTAAAAATTTAACACGAGAACTATCACTATTTCTTAAACTAAACACTAGTACTATCACTTTTCTTAAACTGGTTATTTCTAAAATTGAACACAGGAACTACACTATTGCATAAATTGAATATTTTTGAAAATAATCACGAGCACTATTTTTGAAACTGAACACGGGTTGGGTTGCGCTTTGCACATTCTTTTGATTGGGTTTTTTTTTTTTTTCTTACTTTTGAAATCTTTTTGATTAATTTTTTCTTTTTATAATTTTTAAATAAACGTTTAACAAGGAAATTGTCACGATGACTTCTATTTCCTCGCTGTTTGCTAGACGAACTTACGAGTCAAAATTGTCTCACTTTTACAAGAACTTGATAATTTCTTCATTGAAAATTTCATTGCGAATCATTTGTTGTAATTATACTCTACAAGTTAAATTATGTGATTAGGTCTAATTAATATACGACTAATATTAAAGGGAATTGTTATTGAAACTTCAAAATTCTCAATCTACACTCCAAACTTTTTATATTTAGAAAGAAAAATACACTTGTGAGGAGTATAGAATGAGATTTTTGGAGTGCCAATAACACTTCTCATATTAAAATAAATAAATAAGAGTCTAACATCTCTTTCCTTTTCTTTTGACTGACCATGAGATCTATCATGAGGTAACGAAGGTGTCGAGGAAATTGTGCTTGTACTTTCTTTTTCTTCCCCCAATGGAAAAATGAACCCTGTAAATTTCTAGTGAGATTCTAATGTGTGTCGTTAGGCCAATGTTCCAAACTTTAAACATCATCTTTAATTTTGAAGAATGATTAATTCATTAGCATATATGCCAATTTCTCGCACTTTATGTATTACTTTGCGTAATCACAGGTAAACTTCTTACAAATAAAATTTCGTGGTAATGTATAGGTAATTTCCTTATATTGTGAAGAAATTAAACCTAACATTCTCCGAGTCCATAAAGAACATTGGCCTAGCTTCATGGCTATAAATATGGGGGTTATCTAAGGTCTTGAAGCCATAATTAACACATTGAATGGGGAAACAAAGAAGATATAAAAGAGGTTGAGGGATTCATGTCGCATGAGAGAGATGGCGCAAGCTGCGCTCTAGCTAGTAGAATGTTCCATCCTCCTGCGACATGGAACCCTTTATTTCTTTGTGCAAATGTAGTAATTTCTTTATTTTATTGAAGAAAAATGCAGCATTCTCCAAATCCATTGAGAGGAAGGGAGAGAGGTATCTCTAAAGAAGTGATGAATTAAGATAGGTTGGGAGATTTATGTTCGCAGGAGAGATGGCACTAATTGTGCTACATCTGTCAGCAATTATTGTTATCTCTCTTGTGACCAAAAGGTCTACACAACTTTCACGACTTTGATCTTTCTCTACAACATTTGTGGGTTTTTATTTTCCACGACATGATTTTTATCTTATGGTTGTAGATTAATTATCTGAATAATATACTATCAATTACTTAAGGTTGACTTTATCAAGATATGATTGTTTTAGCTAGGCATCTACTGCAGATACCTTATATTGTTAATTAAAACAGGCATATCGTGATTATGATAATCTGATGATCCAACTACACTAAAACGTGGATTAAAAAAGATGGTATTTGGAACTGTAAATAAAATAAATTCGCATAATTAGATGATGGAATTGCATGATGATCTCATATATATTGCAGTACTCGGACTAAGTAAGTTTCATCAATCATTCAGACCACATCAAGAGATTAGGACAGTAACTTTGATATATATATTTATAAATAAAGCTGTACTAAATATATGTGTCATATATTCTGTGTCCCTTATCCATGACCATTAGGCTTTAATATTTTTTGTGAGAGCGAAATTTGAAGTTTATATGTTTTGACCTTATGATCCCATAGCTAGCTAGCTAATATAATTTGTGAATTATAGTATTGACAGAATTAGTACCCACTTTATTAAAAGAAACAAGGAAAATTGAAGAAATACTTTACTGGCTCTTTCATGCCTCTATATAATGCTGCATCATAAGCATTTCGGAGAAGAGATCTAGCCAGCGGATCGAAAAACAGTACTAAAAGCGAGATCGGAATATCAAAGCGTAGGGACTTCGGTCGTAGGTGAGATGCCGCCGACTGCCTTTTATATTGGGTTGCTTCGGTTGCAAGCTGTATATATATAGCTAGCCAATTCATGGCACCGAGCTTCATCTGTCCTCGTTGAAGCCTCTCAAGCTTTGTTTCCACAGAAAAGAAACCCATCTTTAATTTCTTTGCAAGCTTGGAGAATGATCAGGTGTAGTATTATTTTACCCTTTTTTTAGCTGTATTTATGATCAGGTGTAGTATTATTTTACCCTTTTTTTAGCTGTATTTTGTTGTCTGTTTTGAGTTGTGGCTTCATACGTATATTATTGTACTATAAGATTTTGTTTCAGAACTAAACCTATTTTCTTGGATCAATGGATCATGGTAAATGCTTATACACATGTGCTAGGGATCGAAAGACAGAAAGTATGTGCCGAAAAATGCAAGAAAAAGGCCAAAAAAAAAAAAAGAAAAAAAAAAAAAAAAAAAAAGAGTACTTAGCAAATGTTTTTCCGAGATCCAAAAGTAATGCACATTTGTTTTCCCTCTCCTAAGTAGATCCGGCCACCTGCGACGTCTACTTCTACATAGGCAACGGAGAAACGCATGGCCTGGTCGGCAGGGGTGTTGATCATTAGCTAGCTAGTGAAGGACTCGAACACATGATTTCTTCTGAGAAGGGTGTATTTGTCAAGATGAAGGCTGAAGGATGAAAAGCTAATTGGAGATCTTCTGTTCACAGGGTTGACCGCAGTTTAGTCATTTTTCATGTGATTGCAGTATTAGTTAGAACTTAGTAATCATCGTAAGCCTGCAACTGGTGTTTTTATCTTTTGCTAAATATTCAAGCCAGCTATGTTTGGAGATAGCAACAAATTAACCTATTTTCTCTTAAGTTTAATTGATTTGACTTTAATTGTACTGGCCCAGAATATTATTTAACTTATATATATATATATATATATATATATATATATGTGCCCGCGCGCGTGTATTGTTAAACCATTATCTTTTCTTTCCAGTGTTGTGCTCCATATACTCAATCAACCAATGATCCCTGAAGGCACAATTTCTTGCATTGCATATGATTCAATTAAATAATGATCCAATGTGGGGTATAAATGATTTCTTGATATATGCTTTTAGGAGTTTCTTTTTCTAGGGTTGGGAGCTTCTCCCACTGTAGAGCACTTTAAGACTTCATTTGGCACGCTGGATAAAGTATCAGATAAGACTAATAGTACAAAGCTAATTGTTTGGTGCATTTTTGTATTGAATAGCCGACTGACTTATTATCTAGACTCACTTATTTTATCCGGTCTACACCTGCTAACTAATACACGCCAAAATGAAGGATAATTAGTCGGCTTCATCTCTCTCTTCGTTCCTCATTCTTCTTCCTCCAACCAAGGTATTTCCTTCTACCCAACCAACCATGGCAGCAATCGGAGTGATTCTTGAAGTCATTCCAAAGCCAATCGTCGCAGACCCTAGTCTCCTATCTCTCTATATTTTTCATTCAAATCTTGGCGAGCCAAGATTATCCAGAATGTTTGGGGAGACTTCAAAGAGATTACCCAGTGCAGAGCAATCCTTCTCCTTTTCCTTCCATATTCTCACCTTTCATCTATGCTTTTTTTCTAATTTTCTACAACAGAATAAAAACCATAAGCAAAAAAGAAAGCCATGCCTTGCCTGCGCAATATATTTTTTTTATTTTAGTTCAAATTTTTTTGAAAGCCTTGTTTAATTGCATAATACCCATTTTCAATTAGTGGGCAAGAGGGTAAGATTTGTATGGGAGGATGGGATTTGATGCGTAGTGAGGAAGATGGTGAAGAAAGGGAGTAGAGAAATCTGGGTTCTTTTTCCTTTTCTTTTTCCCTTTTTTTTTAATTATTTTATTATTTTTTAATTTTTAATTTTTAATTTTGTCTTTTTATTTCGTTTTTCCTAAATTTTTTTTTTTCAATTATTAAGTTAAAATTATTATAATCTAACATACTATCCGATATACAAATTAATGTGACACTTATTAGTCAATAATATCTGATGCACATATTAGTCAGTCCAACTAAAATAGTTAATACAGTTCAACGTACCAAACGATGCCTAAAACATGGTGGTGGTGGTTTCAACTGTCAATTCATACATTTCCAATCAGTTAAGTTTATCAGTTTATGTTTACTGTTTTTTAATTTATAAGCATTTAGCTAATCTTCATTGCAACTGAAATATTCTCTTTCTCATTACAGTTTCACGATAGAGTTTTTCTTTAAATTAAAAGATGGCAAAGAGGTAAATCTGGCTGATCATGATGAGGTTTTGACGAGGCATTTACTTTGGGTTGATCATACCTTTATGTGCATTAATTAATGATCATCATAAAGATGTGAAGCACTAATATCTTGCATTAACTCACTTTTTTATCCTTAGTCCACTAGATTACCTACCATAGCAAAGGTTTTTGTGAGATTTTTCTTTTGATATGTGCCCTCCTACCACGAGACTCATGTTGGAAACGATTTGTACATATCGAGAACTTACGACAACAACCTCCATCTCCTAATCATGAAGACCTGATGCGACTACTTTTTAAGTCGTACACTAAAGAATATTGTAATTAATGTGTTTATTTAGGAATGTGATTGTGTAACCTTAAACAAGAATCCCAATGGGATTTGGAGATCGAATCCTCATAGCTAGGCCTAGTGTTACTTATTAGGCAAAAATATCTGTCATCTATATATATATATATATATATATATATAAAGTGAGAGGTCTAGTTTGGTGAAGCCTTCCAAAATGCCAAAAATGCCCATTTGTTTCCTTCACAATCAAAACCCAAAAAATTAAAAAAAAAACAGGACAGACTAGTAAAAAACCATATTTCAACAAAAACTGTATTGGAAAACAAAATAAAAAGAAAAAGAAAAAGAAAAAAGTAAAGAAAAATAGGACAAAAATGTAAAAAGGAACTTAATAGAAACCGTATTGAAACAAAACATGATAATTAAATTTTTTAAAAACATGATAATTATCCTCTAAAAGGTTAGAAGTTATGGAGAGGATAGATAGATAAAAGATAATGGCAACAAAAAGAAATTAAGACAAATAGAAAAAGGAGATAATCCAAACTAAAATGGCTAAACCGTTCACAAAGGGAGAGGATGAACGTAGCGTCATTTTTTGATACTGCTATGAGCAGTTACATTTGGGTTATATCTTTCTCCATGACACAAAAATTGACTCATCTCATTCTATCGGATATTCAGTTTTTCACTTTGTTTACCCCTTCTCTTTTGTGTTCTTGGCGTTTGATTTCATATTATTGGGAAATAATTATTTTTGTTAATCCATTTTTTTGTCTACTTTTCCCCTCTATCTTGAGTTTTGATTTTGAAATATATATACAAACCTATTGCATGGAGCCGACGAAAAGGTTGAGAAAGATGAGCTTATTCATGAGTTTTCATTGAACAGCCTGCCTATTATCTAGCAGCAAGGTCCAAGTCCCCACTTTGCAACCTCATCAAGTAATCAGAATCAGGCAAGTGGTGAAATTCCTTTTCTACTGTTGAACATAAATACTCATCACTCTGACTCTGCAATGGTTTTTAGATTTTTCAGGGTTTATCTAGCGTTTTATTTTACCTTTGATTGTGTTGTTTTTGGACTACACCAAAGACTTTGTGGAACGACTCGCTATGGAGATGCAGACCCAGAGACCATGCGGCACATTAGATAAAAATTTGACAATGTTTCGAAGAACAAATACAGATCTAAAGGCTTTCCATCTATAAATATTTACTGGTAATTAGTGTTTGCAGATTGCCTCTTCCAACTAACCATGTATGTTTCCTGTAATCACCTTAATATCTCCCTAACCATCTTTGTTTCTTATTTTTTGAATGATATCTATAAATTGTAGGGAATTTCATTGTATCCAACCCATGTATCCAACCCATCAAGTCCTTTTTCTCTAACCTTCTCCAAATTTGAATTTCACTGAAGTGAGGTTTTGTTTGAGTATTGGTAATTTGTTGCTTGCATTTTTGTAAGATATTCATATTTGTCGTTTTATTCTATTGGTAATTCGTTGTTTGATTGGTTTTGTTGCTTTCCTCTGCGTTTGAACTCATATTCGTTAATCTACCAATTTTATTTGGGTGCTAAATTGCCTCTGTTACTCAAGGCTATCGTACTTTTAGTTAGATTGTTCTGTAATTTTCATTGAGTTGCTTTCAATTCTCCTCTCATCTTAATTAAGTTATATAGTTTGAATTTATGCATTTTAAATCTTCCCTTTTATCTGGACTATTGTTAATAGTTATTTATATTTATCCATTTCTTCTTGCAGGAAAGAAAAAAGGTGGGTGCTTACTTTTACTGCATTGCACACACAAGAATATGACTGCAAAATTAGTCACTACCAAGGTAAAAGACGATCAATGTTTCTTTATTCCTGTACCGTACACACGCATGCATATATATCCTTTTTATTTATTTATTTAAGCTTTTCAGTTCTTTTATCAAACATCAATAACAATGTTAAAGTTATACTTATTATTGCATCTTTCTTCGTCATGATAAATTTCATCATTTTCTTTCCACATTATCCCACTTAATCATCTCTCTTTATAAAAAGTTTCAATAGTGAGGTGCAAATTTGAAAAGAATATTGTAAGGGTAAGTAGCATGGAGTTTCATTTTCTTATGAACCACCAAAATCAACATATATATATATATATATATATATATAAAAGAATAAGTAGCATGGAATTTTATCTACCAAAATACGAAAAGAGAATAAGTAGCATGGAGTTTCCTTTTTCTTATGAATCAAATCCCGGTTGGGTATATTAAGCAGATGCAGGATAAGTTGCTTCTAAGTTCTAATAATGGTATTGGTGGCTGGTGGAGATCATATTATTGTTATGAAATGTCTTTCAAAGATTCATAAATTAGACCCTCAAGACAAAATCATACAATAGTACATGCTTATAGATGCATGCTTTTTTATTCTATCAAACATAGAGTAAATTTTCTTTTTTTCTTGGTTTGGATTAAATGTAATACAAGTGTATATATGATTTTTATTTTATTTAAAATGTACTACTATTAAACCCTTATTTACTAATGTATTATTGCATAAGAGTAAAAAATACTGCAAAGTAACTTCTCATTCAACGTTGTCCAACACAATATTAAAATAAATTCTATTAATATATATTGTATTTCTAAGTCTAATCCTAAGGTAAACCTTGAGTTGAAATCCGGTTGTGCTAAGATTTTGAGAAAATTGTGTGATTGTTGTGAACTATTTGTGACCAAAATACGGGAAAAGAAAGGAAATTTAAGTTATTAAAGTAGAGTTCTAATCAATGGTAGAAAATGATACATAGCGCATGTCCTTCAAGGATAATAAAAAAGGCTTTCTGAATAGAATATGTCAATTTAACATATATAATTTAGGAGCACGTAGCGACCATAATAGCATTTCACACACATAAGAGCGCGTGTAAAAAGGCTAGATGCTTTTGGTTCTTTTATGGTAACATATTTCTTGGTTCCAGAGTAAGTGCTTACTACTTCTAATCAAAAGGAAAAAAAAAAACACACGTTGAAGGTATCTATTAAAAAAATAGGAGGAATGATGGGTGTTGGCATCTCACAAGTTCATCGGAAAAATGAGTTAGTCATCCAAAATAAAAAAAACTTTGGATAGGCAAATAAGAAAACAACTAAAGCAACCTATTTTAGGGGCGCGTAGCATCCGTGATGAAAAAATGCCTCTCACATGCGTGTGAGTGCGTGCGAAGAGGCTAGTGATTAGTATAAATAAACGTACAAGGTCAAGAGATAAACATACAATTCCCATACATCTGAATCATTCTCTCTCTCTCTCTCTCTCTCTCTCTCAATTGGAAATGAATTTTTGGATAAATCATGTCATTTTTTGGATAAATTACAGTCATCGGTTGGAAATGAATTTTTGGATAAATCATGTCAATTTTTGGCTTTTGAACATTTACCCCTCTCCATTGGAAATGGCCTAAGTTCAGGAAAGGGATCCTCTCTGGATCCCTTTCCACCAAATATCCACCTAGTCCAGGATCGGCTACAGTTATTATAACTTTTAAAGGAGCTCCTTGTTTGTAGCCGTTGGATCAAATTTCAACGGCCCGGATTCCAAACTAGGTGGATTTGGTAGAAAGAGATCCAAAGAGAATCCCTTCCCATAAGTTCAATACTATTCTGGGCCATAATAATTAAAGTCAAACCATAATTAAACTAAGGGAAAATAGGCTTTGCAGCCATCTCCAAACAATAGCTGGCTTGAATATTTAGCAAAAGATAATAGAAAAACACTAGCTGCAGGCTTAGATGATTTTTAAGTCCTAATTAGTACTGCAATCACATGTTAAATTACAAAACTTGTGGTGAACCTTGTGAACAGAAGATCTTCAATTAGCTCTTCATCCTTTGCAGCCTTCATCTGGACAAGTAATATACCCTTCTCAGAAGAAATCATGCACTTGAGTCCTTCACTAGCAAGCAAATGATCAACACCACCGCCGACCGGGCCATGCGTTTCTCCGTTGCCTATGTAGAAGTGGACGTCGCAGGTGGCCGGATCTAGCAAAAAGGAGAGGAAAAACATTTGCTAGGTACTTTTTTTCTTTTTAATTACCTTTTCTTGTTTTTTTTTTTGGGGCACATATAGTTTCTGTCTTTTCGATCTCTAGCATGTATATAAGCACTTACCATGATCCTTTGATCCAAGAAAATTGGTTTAGTTCTTAAACAAAATCTTACAGTACAGTAATATACGCATGAATCCAAAACTCAAAACAGAAGTCAAAATACGGAAAAAAGGGTAAAGTAATACTACTTCACCTGATCTTTCTCCAATCTTGCGAAGAAATTAAAGATGGGTTTCTTTTCCGTGGAATCAAAGCGTGAGAGGCTTCAGTCGAGGAGAGATGAAGCTCGCTGGCCTGAATTGGCTAGCTATATAAAGCTTGTAATCGCAGCTACCAATATACATGGCATTCGGCACCATCTCACCTTCGACAGAAGTCCCTACGCTTTGATATTTTGATCTCGCTTTTATTACTGTTTTTCAATCTGCTGGCTCCAAAATCCTCATGATGCAGCTTTATATATAGGCATGAAAGAGCCAGTATAGTATTTCTTCATTTTCCTTTTTTCTTTATGTAAAGTGGTACTAGTACTGTAATTCATAAGGTACAAACTCCAAATTTCTCTCATAAAAATTATTAAAGCCTCATGGTCATGGAAAATATATCACATATATTTAGTACAGCTTTATTTTTAAATACATATTAGGCTCATACATATGAGTTGATGAATTATTCATGAAATTTGTCATTGCAAAACAGTTGTGAGATGAAATCGATCTGCGAAACTACTGTTATTAGTTGATCAGTAATATGTCATATTTACTGCCCTCATCTTTTGATGTAGTCTGAATGATTTTTGAAACTTAATTACTCCAAGTACTGCAATATATATGAGATCACCACCAATTCCATCATCTAATACGAACTTATTATATGTACAGCTCCAAATAGAATGATCTATTTTTTAATCCACGTTTTAGTGTGGCTAGAGATCTATCACATCAGATTATCATAATCAAGATGGGCCTATTTTAATTAACAATGTACGGCATCCACAGTAGATGCCTAATTAAAATAATCATACCTTCACAAAGACAAGCATAAGTAATTGATAGTATATTATTAAGATAATCAACAACCATAAGATACAAATCATGTCGGAAAAATTGAAAAACCCAAAATGTCACAGAGCAAGATCAAAGTTGTTGCGCTTGTGTAGAGCTTTTTGGTCGCAGGAGAGATGGCAACAATTGCATGCAGTTGCAGCACAATTAGTGCCATCTCTCTTGTGAGCATAAATCTCCCAACCTTTCTTAATTCATCTGTTCTCTAGACATGCCTTTCTTCCTCTCAATGAATTTGAAAAATGCTGCATTTTTCTTTAATTGAATAAAGAAATTAGTACATATGCATAAAGAAAGAAAGGGTTTCATGTATGTTTAAAACAATTAACAAATAATGATAGAGAGTTGGTTTACCACTTCTTCACTAATTGGCCTTCCCCCTCCTCTTGTTTATCAGACAGATCAATACACATGCATGCAGCTTCAGAAAGAGGTTGGAGGGGGCATCTGTAACAGGAGAGTGATATAAGTTGCGTTTTGATATATCCCAATTAATTATCTAATTGTTATAAACAATATATAGCAACTTTTGTCATCTCTCCTGCGACAGGTATCTCCTCTAACGTCTTTAATATAACTCTTCTTCGGTAATGGTGTTTGATCTCTCTTCAGTGTCTCCTCATGGCTTCACAAGAGAAGGACCCTTGCGATATATTTATAAGCAGGGAGCAGGGCTGGCTAGCTAGTCGGCCGTTTTTCCTACGCTATTACTTTAAGGAAACTGCCATGAATTCGCAGTGCATGCATGACGATCTTGCTAGGAATCTTACTAGTTGTTCATGCTTTCCCATTGGACAAAAAACTGATTCAAAATGTATAACTTTAGAAAGAGAGACTACAAATGTTCCTCACCTCCTTCATTTAGTAATTCCATATGTTTTCATGACTTCGTTCAGTGTGTGTGTGTGTATAAAATACGTACGTACTTGTAGTGTTCTTAATTCCTTTCCATCAATAAGAGAGAACCAATCTTAACATGAAAAGAGAAATACAAATGTTTTTTGGTCTAATTAATTTTCTTTTCTTTTTGGAGTTAATAATTTTTCAGAGGCAATAAGGTTAGCCGACGGTGAGGGTAGCTAGATGTAGAGTGATGGGTAAGAGTATGCTAGATCTAGAATTCAGAACCTACAAGATAACCAAAATTAAAATTTCTTAGAGGCAACAAAACTAGTTTGAAATCTTTTGGTGGATGCCAGTAGGGATGACCAATGGGTACCTGTTTAGCTAAATGGACGTTCATTTAATCGTGAAATATGTGCTAATTGTGGTGATGAATGGTGGTTTTTGTGCTTGTGATAATGGAATATATAATGCATCACTGGAGGGGTCACACCACATGACTTGAAGAGTTACATTTATTAAATAAGTACTTACAAAATTATAAAAGTTTAGGTAAAAATAAAAAGAAAGATTTTTCCCCTGGGGTGGGGAAGGTATGGATGGCTCCAAAGCCGATAGGGTCATGGGCTTCAAGGCATTAGCATAACCCAATGAAATATATCCAATAATCCAAACGATGGCAGTCAAGGAAAAAGAAACCCTAAATATAATATGACGTGCAAAACAAGTTCGAAAATCGGCAATTTTATTATATAGATGTGTGAAACAAACAGCTATATTTAGATCCAAAAGTTGCACAGAATCAAACAAGTTTTCTTTAGATTTCCTCTTTCAAAATGTCCATCTTTCCAGCAGTTCGTTCTCCCCCATCAGGCCATCAACATTTCAAGACACTTTTACTGAAGCATACGAAATGCCTTTGGATCAATATTGCCTCACTTTTTACGAGAAGTTGATAATTTCTTCGTTGAAAATTTCATCGGTAAGAACCATGCATTTTATTGTAGTTATACACTACGAGTTATATTCTGGGATTAGTTCTAATATACGACGAATATTGGAAAAGAAAACATGAGTCTAACGTCTCTTTCCTTTTCTTCTGACTGGCCAATGGAAAAATGAACCCTGTAACGTGTGTGTGGTTAGGCCAGTGTTCCAAACTTTAAATAACATATTTAATTTTGAAGAATGATTAATTAAGTTCATTAGAATATGCCAATTTATCTAACTTTATGTAATCACAGGCAATTTCCTTGCAAATTAAAAGCAAACTTCGAGGTAATGTATATTTAATTTCCTTATATTGTGAAAAAACCTAACATTTTCCCAGTACATAGAGAAACATGCATGGCTATAAATATGGGGTTATCTAAGGTCTTGAAACCATTATTAACACATTGAATAACAAAGAAGATATAAAAGAGGTTTGACGGATTCATGTCGCATGAGAGATGGCACGAGCTGCGCTCTAACTAGTAGCATGTTCCATCCTCCTGCGACATGGAACCTTTTATTTCTTTATCCAGATATAGTAATTTATTTATTTAATTAAAGAAAAATGCAGCATTCTCTAAATTCATTGAGAGGAAGGGAAAGATGGAGAGAGGTATCTCTAGAGAAATGATGAATTAAGATTGGTTGGGAGATTTATGTTCGCAGGAGGGATGGCACTAATTGTGCTACAACTACAAGCAATTGTTGCCATCTCTCCCGTGACCAAAAAGCTCTACACAACTTCTACGACCTTGATCTTTCTCTACGACATTTTGGGTTTTTTTTTATTCCAACATGATTTTTATTTTATGGTTGTAGATTAATTATCTGCATGTATAATATACTATCAGTTACTAATTAAGCTTGACTTTGTCAAGATATGATTGTTTTAGCTAGGCATCTACTGTAGGTACCTTACACTGTTAATTAAAATAGGCATATCGTGATTATGATAATCTGATGATCTAACCGCACTAAAACGTGGATTAAAAAAAGATCATTCTATCTGGAGCTGTAAATAAAATGAATTCGTATGATTAGATGATGGATTTGCATGATGATCTCATATATATTGCAGTACTTGGACTAATCAAGTTTCATCAATCATTCAGATTACATCAAGAGATTAGGACAGTAATTTTGATAAAGCTGCAGCTGTACTAAATATATGTGTAATAGCTTGTGTCCCTTAATTATCCATGACCATAAGGCTTAATATTTTTTCTGAGAGAGAAATTTGGAGTTTATATGTTTGTACCTTATGATCCCATATAGCTAGCTAGCCAATATAATTGATTAATTATAGTATTACTGTCCTAGTACCGTTTTGTTAAAAGAAAAAAGGAAAATGAAGAAATACTATACTGGCTCTTTCATGCCTAAATATAAAGCTGCATCATGAGGATTTTGGAGAAGAAATCTAGCCAGTGGATCGAAAAACAGTTCTAAAAGCGAGATCGGAATGCGCGGGGACTCGGTAGTAGGTGAGATGGCTCCGAATGCCATGTACATTGGTAGTAGCTGCGGTTGCAAGCTATATATAGCTAGCCAATTCGGGGTAGCGAGCTTCATCTCTCCTGGACTGAAGCCTCTCGCGTTTTGATTACACAGAAAAGAAACCCATCTTTAATTTTTTTGCATGCTTGGAGAAAGATCAGGTGAAGTAGTATTATTTTACCCTTTTTTCTGTATTTTGTTGTCTGTTTTGAGTTTTGGCGTCATGCGTATATTACTTTACTCTAAGATTTTGTTTAAGAACTAAACCAATCTTCTTGGATCAAACCTTATTTGGATCAATGGACCATGGTAAATGCTTATATACATGCTAGGGATCGAAAAGATAGAAAGTATGTGTCCGTAAATTGTGCCGAAAAATAAAAGAAAAGGCAAAAGTACATAGCTAATGTTTTTCCAAGATCCAAATGCACATTGGTTTTTCCTCTCCTTCTAGCTAGATCCGGCCACCTGCGATGTCCACTTCTACACGGGCAATGGAGAAACGCATGGCCTGGTTGGCGGGGGTTTTGATCATTGGCTAGGTAGTGAAGGATTCAAGCACATGATTTCCTCTGAGAAGGGTATATTTGTCCAGATGAAGGCAGAAGGACGAAGAGCTAATTGGAGATCTTCTGTTCACAAGGTTCACCGCAAGTTTAGTCATTTAACATGTGATTGCAGTATTAATTAGAAGTTAGTAATCATCGTAAGCCTGCAACTGGTGTTTTTATCTTTTGCCAAATATTCAAGCAATCTATTGTTTGGAGATAGCAGCAAATTAGCCTTTTTTCTCTTAGTTTAATTGATTTGACTTCAATTTTTCTAGGCCAGAATATTATTGAACAAATATATACGTGTATGTGTATGTACATGTTGTTAAACAATGATCTTTTCTTTCCAGTGCTGTGCTCTATATAAGATTCAATCAACTAATGATCCCTGAAGGCACAATGTCTTGCATACCATATGATTCAATTAAATAATGATCCGATTTGGGGGCATCAATGATTTCATGATATATGCTTTTAGGAGTTTCTTTTCCTATGGTTGGGAGCTTCTCCCTCTATCCAGCATTCTAGGTGGTAGTGGCTTCAACTGTCAATTCATACATTTCCAATCAATTAAGTTCATGTTTACTGTTTTTTTATTTTA